TTCACTACTTCCACTCCTAACTCCTTATCCTTCATGCTCCTATCCTAGAGAAATGGTTAGTATCTGTAAAAGACACTTCAACACTCAAGTTAGTAATCATCCTTATTTATATTAACCTTAATGGATTTAGGCTCATAAGCAGACCCACGACGAGATTCATTAATGTTAATATGTTAGATGTGTGAACCATTATAAAGAGTTGAACACTCCTAAGCTTGTTTCATGTTTGTACAATTATGTCAAGAGGTCTTCGACCTTCCTCTTATATCTATCCAGTATACATATAATTACAATACAAACATAAATAAAGAAGACATGAACTTACTGTTATTGACATTTCTTGCATGCGTCCACGAAACATCTTAACGAATATTTAATATCTCAAATCATATTCTAACTTCTTGGGATAAACTTAGAACTTCTCCCTCTCCCCTCACCCCTCTCTCTTTTTTGGATGAATAATGTCCATTCTAATCGCAAGATCTTTTCATATTATAAGTCTAGGACTATATTCATAAATGTTTTAACTTTTTAATTATTACATCTCATTTTTATAGTAAAAATTTTCAAGAGTCAAGATACATTCACCATTCTCTTGAAATGCAAATTTTGATTTTTCTTTTTTCATTTAATTAAAAATATTAACTAATAGTTAATTTCCCAATTAAGGGATTTTAATGGCCGATCCAAAGCTTTTCAATCATGAGCACTTAGTAGTTTATTTTTCCATGGTTTTACAGCTATCACATGGCTCTACCAAAAGAAAAGTTACAAGTTTGCTTTACCTAGCTAATTTGGTTGTATTATATAGTTCAACAATACCCAAATGGAGCTGTTATTTGTCTCCATCAACATACTAGTACACATATAAAAAGGTTGGTCGTAAGGCCTTCGTTTTTTTATGGCTTTTTGGTTTCTTTTTTGTGCAATCTTAAAGTGAACTTTTAACCATTTGTTATATGTGTGTGGATGAGAAAATTCATTCCTTTCTATTAGTCAATGTCAAGGGACAATAGTACCGGATAGTGAGATTTATTGAACAACATATTACAGATGAAGTTAATTAATTTATTTGACCAAACTAGATAATTATGAAAAAGTGGAAATTTTGTCAATCATTTGATTGGAGTTGGTATTAGGTAATAGATGGTCTATAATATGATAAAAACAAAGACATTCATTTAATTGTGGCTTGGAATCCTATCCATATTGTAAAAGCTGGCGGCCTAGTTTTTTTATTTTATTTTATTTTATTTTTTTTATTTTAAAAGGTTACTTTAAATTAAAACTAAAAACAATAATTTAAAAGAAAAAATATAAAATTGTTTTTTTTTGGCTTAAAACTATCTTTTTAAGATAAAAGTTGTTTAATAAAAAATGTTTTTTATTATGTTTAGAAATAGTTATCTCATCCAATAAAAAAGTATATTTATAAAGATAAAAAATATCAGTAAATTAATTTAATTTGCATATAATTATTTTAATAATATAAATAAAAAATATTAAAGTCACATATTTAAAAATGTCAAAATAATTGTAATAATACTTTATTTTAGTGATGATTTGCTAAATACATATAATATTAATAAAAATAAATTTAAATATCAATTGAAAATGATAAAATAATTAACTTCTTTTATATTGTTTAATAATATTTTAAAAGAATAAAAAAAAATGCATTACAATCAAGCTTGATAAAATCCATTACACATACACACAAAAGATTCAAAATGAGGTTCAACATAAAAATAAAAAAATAAAATATTTCATAAGTTTTCTAAAAGGTCTTCCTATTAACTTTTCTTAAAGCTGCCAATTCTCATTTCTCATTTCTTTAAAAAATAAACTACTTATATTTTTAAGAACTTTTGTATAGAAATTAAGGGTTTGATCCAACTTTTTCTTAAAAAAATAAAAAACAAGACTAAACACTACCTTAAAAATTAGAATCATCCATTTTCAATATATGGATACATATTTTGAGATCAATCTTTATCAAACAATAAACAAATTAATGAAATCTAATAATTTTTTTTTATAAAATAAAATTGTAATAATTCAATTGGTCACTGTACATAATAATTAATAACTAAGTATAAAAAAATATAAATCTAATTATTTATGATTAATATGTAATAGTTACTTAATATACATACAACAATATATATATGTATAGGAATAGACAACAAAAAATATAAATAATTCCTCAACAAAGAACAATCTCATTTTATTCGAGAGTGTATCTCTCTAAAAAAATTTTATAGAATTTTTAAAATATAAATTTATAAAATTTAAGTCCTATATATATATATATTTCTAAATTTGGTTAATTTTGACCTTAATACAAAATAATTCTTAAACAACTAAATTCATAAAATATTTTTAACTTTTAAAATCTTAAAATATTAAAATAACATATCAACATAAATCATTTACTTAATAAAATTAAATAAATAATAATACACATCACAGTATTACAAAAATATAACAATCTAAATTTATATTTATATTCCTGACAAATAATAATTTCGGAATTTCACTTGCCCATTGATGAAAAATATTTTTAATTTTTAATATTATAGTGGCATTTAATTGTAATTTTATATTTGCAAATTATGAGCTGTCCTTATTTCATGCTTACGTGCTAGATGACTATACATGAACATTAAAAACGTGTTTAGATGTGGATTGATAGCATGAATTTAAATTAATTTATTTTTTTATGGAATTAAATTTAGTTAACAATCATTTTGAAAGTGGCGTGATTTATATTTAGATGATATATATTAAAAAAAAAATTTCAAGAATATTATTAAGATACCTTAAATTAAAATTGAATCCGAGTGTGTAATTAATTATTAAATTAAATTTTAATAGTTGTGCACATTTTTATCATTATATTGAGCTACTTTAAAATTCTGATACATATTATTACATTCTTAAAAGACTGATACATATTATTACATTCTTAAAAGACTGATACGTGATTATTAAGTTTTATGACACTGGTGTAAATTTTTTTTTTTATAACTTAATAATTATAATGGACAAATTATAATATTTAAAAAAAAAAAACAAGTATGATATTTGCACAAAATAGTTACCGTTGAAATAGATGGAACATTAATCATAATGCTGAAATCATAATGCATGGCCAAATAGACTAAATTCTAATGGCTAATTAAGACAGTTTATTTATCGGCTATTTATTAGTTTTTGACTTCAAAATTATCAACACAGGTGGCCATCATATTTTTTTTAAAAGGCATGCTCATTATACACCGATGCATATATATATTTTAAAAGGCAAAGCTGGTTAAATATTAGAAACTGGTATGAAGAATTACTCTTACAAGAATGCATTTAAGAATATGGACTTGTTAAGAAAGTAAGTTAAATAATAACTTAATTTTATAAAATCAATTTTGTAATATAAGAATTATTTTATATATATATATATATAATTA